AAAACCATTTAAACTGGGTGTTCGGATTTATATGTCACTTAGTATATTTATTTTACCTTAGCCCACTGAACTATAAAATATTCCAATGTTTAGGAAATAGTCAATAAAAACATAGGATTTCAAACAAACAATTTGTTACGAATTGCCGCTAATTGTACATTTATTCTTCTCTACTCATTCATCAGTCCATGAACCACAAAAAATGTTGGTCAAAGTTGTATATATAACAACCCGAATTTTAATATTCATAATTTTTTTAAATCATATGTGATTGTACATGGACATACGTATGGTAAATAATGATAATTAATAAGCAATGCACCAGTATACACTTTAAGAAAAAAAAGTTATTTCTGGGCAGTCTCTTCTCTTGCTTCAACGACATGAACTAGCCTGCCAGATCGCTAGATTTTGACGGTGGCAGATTTCTGTCTTTGGCGCTTCCTGATGTCTCGGGTCTACCGCAAAAAACTACAAAACTTGCAAGCCAAACACGAAAAAGAAAATCGTTTAAACTTCGTTTTTACACATTTCAGAGGCTCCTGATCATTTTCAGAAAAAATTTCATAGGGGTTTGGATTGGTCGAAGATATACGAGGGTGGTCCCAGAAGTACCCGGCCCAACGAAGATAACACATTTTTTCAAGTTCGGAAACAGAAAATAATCCGAGGAGGCCTAAATCTGGTGAATAGGGTGCATGAGGTAGCAATTCAAACTTTAATTCGTTAATGTTGGCCATTGCAATAACGGATTTATGAGCTGGAGCATTGTCTTGATGAAACAACACTTTCTTGTTAACCAAATGCGGCCGTTTTTGCTTGATTTCATCGCTCAAACGTTGCAATAAGTTCGCATAATACTCGCCGTTGATAGTTTTACCTTTTTCAAGATAGTCAATGAAAATTATCCCACGCGCATCCCAAAAAACCGACGCCATAACCTTGCCTGCAGATGAAACGGTCTTCGCCTTTTTTGGAGCCGGTTGCCCCTTTCGAGTCCATTGTTTTGATTGTTCTTTTGTCTCTTGTGTGAAGTGATGGACCCATGTTTCATCCATGGTTATGAAACGACGCAAAAATTCTGCTTTGTTGCTGTGAAACTTCGCTCAACACTCAATTGAAAGATCTTCACGACACTGTTTTTGCTCATGTTCAAATTTTCAGATAATATGCGATGAACTGCACTTTTTGAAATGCCTACTGTGTCTGCTAGCTCGCGCACTTTCAGTCGACGATCATTCAGTACCGCTTTGTGAATTTTCTTCACCATTTCTGGGGTCGTCACCTCATTTGGTCGATCACTGCGATGCTCGTCTTGGCAGCTCATACAGCCTCGTTTAAAGTCTGCTACCAAATATTTTACTGTTGTAAACGAAGGCGCAGACTCACCAAAAGTAGAATCCAGTTCAGCTTTTGTATTGGTTGGGCTGAGGCCTTTGAAATAAAAGTATTGTATCACATAACGATGACCAATTTTCTCCTATTTCACAAATTCACTGAAAACGTTCAGTATTGATGGCTGCCAAACAAATACTAAACAACGTGGCGTCTTCAAACTTGACACATATCCTTTATAGGTTGCATACTTTCTAATACAATGATATTTTTCAAACAACTATCGCCATCTCTAGGTCAGGCCTGGTACTTCTGGGACCACCTTCGGATTTCATTTTTGTGTTAGTATAATAATAATAATAATAATAATGTTTATTGTCACAAAATACAAGTAAATATCAAATATTGTGCACAATAAACTTAAAGCACCCAAAAAAAGTTTGCACTTGTGTTTGGGTTTGTACAAAATAAAAACTAATAGTACAGTCAGTGTATGAAAAAAGAAAAAAACCCGTTAATACTGTATAATTTGGTGAATTATTATGGTAATGTCAGGAAAATATCCAGACAATTAGAACTGAAGTAAAAGTATGGATGTTAGTGTAAGTAAAATATTATTGATTTTGATAATGATTTTTCAGATCTACAATTTCGTGGATGGAGTACCTTGGTTGTTGTAAAATCATTTTTTTAGTTGTTTTTTAAATGATTTATTTGATTTAATTACTTTTAATGACTCTGGTATGAAGTTATAGAATTTTGGTCCCAAGAAAAACAGAGATCGTTGTGTAATGGTTTTGATGTTTGTGGAATACACATTGAATTTTGATTGAATCTTGTTGGGTAGTTATGAATGGTACGATTAAAGTATTTTGAATATTTGAAATAATGTATTAGACCACAATAAAAATAAATTTGTCTGCAATCTAATAGCTGAGCCTCCACATATAGAAAATCACTTGAATAAGTAATCTCCCTATGGAGGATCAATTTTAGAATTAATTTTTGGATGACCTCAACCTTTTTGTAATTATTATTCATAACTCCCCCCCAAGCCAAAATTCCGTAAAGTAATAGAGGATAAACAAGAGCATAATATAGATTATATAGATATTCTTATCTAGAATATCTCTGAAGTACCTGAATTTTGGAATAATACATCTCAGTATATCTATATGCTTTCGACTCCGGTAATTCTACGCACCTACTAGACACAGACATCATAGATTTTCCTCTACATTTGCCGTTAAACTTGAAACGATAGAGGAGTATTTTCAATAAACGCGTCCTACGCAAAGTAATGAACGTGTAAATATATACCTGCGCCGAGGTCTGGCCGATGGCAGGGGAGAAATTTCTAGAACGCAACGTTGTCATACTGGTGGGGTCTGTGGACTAATAATTGTATAGGCCATTGCTTACTTTTTCCTCAAAGGTTCTAACATATACTGAACATAATCCTTTATGACAGCGTTGCGTGGAAAATGCAGAGTCAACCTACTTGACGCAATTCATTAGTCGATATTGTCGGAATACAGGTATATTATGATTACTAAACTGGTGTGTCATATTTTTGCTGTTTTGATTTCCAAGGCAACCGATTTACCAAATTATTTTGCCCCACCTTGTATGATGTTCATTATGGTATCCCGGACTATAACATCCGTGTTAAAGTCGACCTCAAAACAAACCGAGTTTCTGTGTATTGTTTGATTAAACCATTCCAATTTGCTCATCTAGTATGGAACCCACGCCACACGTATGAATAGATTGTGCGTGCAGATATTTTTTTATTAGATGTTTAATTTGGTAATCTTTTTGGTTCTGTATAGATACGACATTTTGTGGTAGGCGGTTTTCGTAATTGATTTATGCTTTGCTTAATGATGAAGTTTGTAAGTATAGAAATATATAATAATATGGTAAATATATGTTTTTCGATCCCTTTAAGAGCAATAATGGATTTATAAGTACTGGTTTGCTTACATTTGTTATGTGTTTTGTTTATTTACATAAGGAAATGGCAGGTAACAAGGGCAAATGACATGGCTTAAACAAGCCAAACAAGTCCGGATAGTAACTCTAGATGCACCACGCCATATTGTAGGCATCCCTAGGAATTTGTGAACCTTGCTACATACCAATATATACTAAGTGATATATAAATCCGAACACCCAGGTTAAATGGTTTTATTTTAATAAAATTTTGTATGGGTACTTAATGAAGCATAATAAGTAAATGATAAAAATTTCAAAATGATTGCACTGCTTTAAAGCCCTTTGACCTTTAATAATGTGTGGATGCACCCTGATGTGCTACGCATTCTCCAACGCGCCTAGGCATGCTTCTGATCACTTGGTTAATGTCCTCCTAGTGCTTCTAGAGTCTGAGGAGGACGTTGCAAATTGAGCAATCTCCTACCCATCATATCCCACACGTGCTCAATTGGGGATAAGTCGGGAGATCTTGGTGGCCATGGTAACAATGTGACATCATTATGTTGAAAGAAGTCCATTGTGACTCTTGCAACATGTGGTCGGGCATTATCTTGTTGGAAAGTTGGATCTGCCAGGGTGTCAAGATAGGGTAAAAGATGGGGTTCTAGAACTGGATATAACGCTGCGCGTTCATGTTACCTCTGATGAAGATTAAAGGTGACCTGGAACCATATAAGCTATAGCACCCCAAACCATAACTCCAACAGTGTGATGAACATGTCTTTCAACAAAAAACTGTGGATTCCTCCTTTCACCACGTCGCCTTCTAACCCTCGCACGACCATCGTGCATGCCTAAACAAAATCGAGACTCGTCACTAAAGACAATACTGTTCCATTCCTGATCCCAGAGTGACCGTTGTCTGCACCACTCAAGGGGATTACGTCGGTGTTCTCGAGTTAAAGGGAGGACCCAGTGTGGCCGGTATGAAAACAAGCCAAAACTTCTCATTCGTCGGTAACACTTCGCATGCCAATAGGTCTTCCGTGTTCTGCAAACCATTCATTTGCAATGGACCTGGTAGTGGAGAAACGGTCCCTTAAGGCCAATAATCTTAGGCGGCGATCTTCACGGTCTGTTGTTCTACGGCGGCGTCCAGCGCCCCTTGCTCTTTGCGTACGGCCTTCTCGAAGCCATGCCTGACAACACCTAACCACAGTGTCTACACTTCTTTGCACTCTAACTGCAATTGCCCGAAAAGAAAGTCCAGCTTCCCGAAGTCCCACTATACGGCCCCTATCAAACTCACTAAGTTGACGAAATCGTACAGGTCTCCGTACTCTAGGCATCGTAACCGATCGTAAAGGATGTCAAGAACCAAAATCCGCCAACGTTGATTCTTTACTGCGGCAGAAATATTCATTTTTAGAGCGTTAGTGAATTAAAAAAAAGCAGTATAAAAACCGGAATGTCCAACTGATAAGGCTGAAAATTTTTTCACTTGTTATTTACAGTAAGATAAATACATTCACCAACTTTTATTAAAATAAAACCATTTAAACTGGGTGTTCGGATTTATATGTCACTTAGTATATTTTAAAGACATTTAAAAAAAAATGGAAATTAATCTCTTAATTATTGATTTTCCTTGAAGTCAAATTCCCCCACATTTCCATTGCTTTTTATTATTGATGAAAATTACACTAATAACTTTTTCTTTGTTTCAGGCATTCCTGATCCAACATGTGCCATAAAATGTTTCAAATGTTCAGTAGCTGTACCAATGTACTACACCAAAGAACCCATCAGACTTTGTAAGGATTTTGACTATTCTGATAATTTCATAGTCGACTGTCCATATTCAACGTTTTGCATGAAGAGGATAAGTACAGCTAAAATCCCCGGTAAGTCATAACGAGTTAGAAAACAGCAGTCTTTTGCCTTTTTCTGTACATTACGAAAAATAACATAAAGTAACATCGACGTTATCATAAAAATTTTAACGTCTTCGGGACTTGACCATACATGTGTACGTTAATTGCCATCAGAACCCTATCACAATAGTTCAAAAAAAGCGTTACTCATTAACCTGCATTTCTTAAAAATTTGGCGACTGAAAACGTCGATTATTTAAGTTCCGACGCTAAATGACAAGGAAGCATTTGGAAATCGAGATATTATTTATTATTTTTTTCGATTTTGATGTGACACTACGAAAAATCATGTGAATCACTTCCATTTATAAGTCTACAGGTATGGTCTGTCCAGTTATCCTTGATTATGCTATAACTCGGGGAGTACTATGAAACTTCAACATAAGGTTACCACTAAACTAACAACAAAAAGTTTAGCGACGGTGGACTTGAGTAGAAAACGAAAAATTTTGTTTCCAAACTACGTCGCATTAGTTTGGCTGCCTCGATCTGTTTAATTTTCCTATTGTACATGTTCATAAGTAATTTTTTTAGAGTTTACAATTTCTGCCATTTTTCAATCGGATGTGATTTCATCGCTTGCTTGAAATTGTGGGTCATAAATCAGACAGTTCATAAAGAAACTCGATTGAAATTTTACGCTAAAATTTTTTTCCGCAGTACCTATCAACGGCGTTGAACGAGACTGCGCCCTCCAAAAACTAGAAACGCAAGAATACACGAACGGAAAATGGCATCCACTGATCTCAATCGAAGAACCGTACACAGAGGGCTGCGCCAGACAAGACGACAAGGGCGCGCGGACTTCCATCATTGAACACTGCTACTGCAGGGGAGATCTATGCAATTCCGCACATAGGACAACCGTAGCGAAATGGCAGTATGTCTTGACTGCTCTTAGTTTATGGATTTTAAATCATATAGTTTATAAGTAGGATTTTTATATAGGAAATATGATATAAATGTAAAGATGTATATAAATATGTATTTCATGTAACGCTTCTCTTTATGAGGTCTCTATAGAAGTTACGTATTTTTAAAGTATCATGGCAGTCTTTAATAGACGATGAAATTGAAAGACATTTGTATTCAGAATAATCTGACAATTTTTAAGCGCAGTAGAATACAATGCTTCTTGCAGAATGTATCCATTCTCTGCAAAATAAAATGTTCCTAGGGTTAATTTTTTTCCTGAGAATCACCTGAAGAGCGAGAATAGTTCCCGTAAGGCAATACAACTCATCCCACTTTCTATCAATTACTCCTACTTCCTCGTTTTCAAAAATTGATCCCCTGCTTGTTATTCAAAAGTTTTATGAAAAAATCGATCGCTAGTAATTGTGTGTGCAAAAACACTTTCACCTTTGCTTGAATTTCGACGATCAGGAACCACAAGAGCAAATGTGACAAAAATTGTAACTGTATCAGTAAATTCTTCCAAGTCACCGAAAATTAATCTTGGATTCGTAGTGACAAATGACATTTGTGTGATGCTCCAGTTTTCATCATTTTTTGAACTCTTATTTATATTTGAAAGCATATTATTCTTATTGGGAAACTATGTAAAAATGTCGATGCTTGGTACGTTATTGAGATGTTATACCTTCATTTTTTGAGGATGGGCTGAGTGTTAGATCAAAAAATATTTTCAGAGTGTTGCAAATGTTGTTGGATAGATATTTTGGAAATAGAATTGATGTTTATTTTAAAAGCACTTACAATTTATTGAAGATATTATACTAGATATAAAAGATAATATAATACGATATGAATTATCAAATATTAGCTTAATATTGCAAAAATAGCTATCTTGACGTTGACCAATTACAGCTTCATTTACTTAATGAAAGCGCCTCGCAGGAGCAATTTAATATCACTGAAAAACTATTAACTTGTTGTATATGTGATAGATGAAACTGAATTTGTCACATAACAAAGTGATATATTCAAAATAATAATAATAATAATAATAGACGTCTTTATTTATCCACAATTACATTGTAGTATAGCCAAATGTCAGACTTATATGGCGAAGTTTAGCATGCTGCTACTCTTACACTTAACCATATAGTCTCTAGCAGATGTTCAAAAGAATACACTATCCACAAACAGATTTGGTTCATTACATTGAAAGTAAAATTTAAAAAAAAGAGAAAAAGGCATACTTTCCAAACCCAAATGCACCAAAAAATTATTAATCTGAATTAAAGATGGAATAAAAAAGAAATGAATGATTACGTAAATTATATGTTTGGAGGGTTGAGTAATAATGTTTTAACTTTTTGTCGAAAGACAGGTAATGAAAATTCTTTATATACTTTAGGAAGGTCATTATAAATAATAGAAACAATGTAAGAAAAACTGCGTTTAAAAAGTGTAGATGTATGCAGGGGTATTCTAATATTATTTTCTCTGAGAGTTCTACAGTGAACACCATTATTAAATGAAATTTTTTCCTTCAAGTAATTAGGTTTAGACGTGAGCAGCAATTTGTGAACAAAAACTGAATAGTGATACTTGACCATGTCATTAATTTTTAACCAGTTTAGAACGGGATATTTCGCCGATACATGATCAAATTTACGTAAGCCAAAAATGAATCGTATACAATTGTTTTGAATAACTTGAATAACGTTTTTAGTGAAATTGTCTAAACAAGTATAGTATACGATATTACAATAATTTAGTATAGATATGACTAATGCTTCACATAGTTTTTTACGCATCTTAAAATTTAGTAAATACCCGTTTGCTATAAGAGTGCGCAGCCGTAGGTAGGTTTTCTGAGGTAGACTATTAACATGTTCAATAAACCTTAATTTTGCATCAAAAACAACACCAAGAATTTTTGCAGAATCAGAAAATGCAAGATTTGGTTATTTATCTGAATGTTCAACAGCTGTGTTACATTGTATGTTTTTCTTTGTGCGCAAAATAATAACATTTTAGATTTTTGTGGATTAATAAGTAGATTGTGATCTAAAGAGTATTTAATTAATTTATTAACATCGTTTTGTAAAATTTGTGTAGTATTATTGACATTATCTGGGTTAAAATAATGAAGTAATTGCGTATCGTCTGCAAATGACTGGACATGAGAATTATCAATACTTTTGCTTAAGTCGAACGTATATATGAAGAACAGAAGAGGTCCCAATACAGAGCCCTGAGGTACGCCTGAGGGAATTATTGTATTATTCATGTAGTGCTTAAACAATTCTTCATACCACAATCACAACTGATATTCCAAGTTCACATAATCAACAAGTAAAATTAAGTAGTGCAATATTGTGTAGGTATGTGAGCATTATCTATTTTCTCAACTAATGAGGAAAATGTATAGCATACTGGATATTCCAGTCACAGTTGGAGAATACCTGTGAGTCAGTGTAGTTAGGTATTGTAAGGTTTGAGTATAGTGATACCATAAAAATAATGTGTGATATCATGAATATTATATTGCATCTTTTATATGGTGATAAAGCTAAATAATGTTCCAACTTCAAATGTAAACATCTTTTGTACCAACTTTTAATAAAATGCTTTAAATGTAAGTATCCAACATTTTTTGCCTGTAAAGAATAATATAAGTATAAATTGTAAATGAAAAACAAACGATTGCAAAGTTTAACCTACTGTCTTTGTATTTATCATGGAATATGACATCAGTAAATACTGATGAATAGGGTTATATAGAAATCCACTGATGCTTAGAGCATCAGTAAATACTGATGGTACAAACCACAGGATCAGATAATGTTGCAAAAAATTTCATCACATTTGTGGAGCATATACATCAAAAGAGTATATGGAAAATGTTCTGGACTGGAAATAACACAGGTATGGAAAGCAAAAAGAGACCCACATTTACCAGATATCCAGTTCCATGTTGCTATTATTTAAACAAATTCATTTTCATTGCTTATAAAATAATGAAGAATTTTATCTGTATAACTGCAATATTAGTTTTGCTCCACCTATATATGAAGTTTAAAAAATCTCTAATGTTTCACAATAAAAGAACAACATAATCAAAATATTAAGATCTAATTTCATGCATCATTTATGTTGCAGGACGTAAGTAAGTGGAAGGCAGTTTTTCTATAATATGTAGGGTATAAGTTATGATAATGTGTACAAGACAAGAGCTGGGGTATGATTTATTGTCAAATTGCCTCAGATATAGCCTACTTAGAAAAATTACTATCAAGGAAGTCATGATAATCATGCAATTTTAAGTCTTTTACTATATAGAAATCATTAAATATAAGTAATATTATGGATGGATAGATGGTTGTATTTTCACAGATTTCTGATTTCCTCCACATCAAAAAGTGTTTGTGTTAATATACTTTTAGCCAACTTAGTGCTATTGCTTTCTTTAGTTGATGAAAGTTAGCAATAATATCCAGGGGAAGAGAGAATGTATTCAGTTGGTACTACACTACTCAGACTAAGATCCATCCAATAAAAAAAATCACTTACCTTTGAAGAATTTTCTACTAAGCACAGAAACACAACATCTTCCCTCTGCAACCTGACAGCTGTGTGTAGTGGATACTGTGTCTTGTTCTTCAACATTTTGTATAAGAGGGGACCATTCATATGTTCAAAGTCTGATGAATTCAGGTCATCCCAATGGACTGATATAAGACCTGAGCAGTACTCCAGCAGATTGGATGCTTCTGTTTCTTCTGCTACTGAATAAAATTTCACACATGATCTGAAAGAATAACAGATATTTATGTAAGAATCAGCATAAATCATCAGATTCACTATTAAAAAGCTGCTCTAAATCAAAGCAACATCCAAGGCCTATTTGTAAAGCCATTAGTTACAAGTTGCTGACAACTTGCCAACAATCCAAGAATAAAAAATCCATATATTGGTTTAAAGCATGATTTTTAAAACAGTTTTCTGGTCTAGGATCCCACCTACCTACAAAAATTGCATTGCTTTTTTAAGAAATGTATAAGGTTGATTATTTAAATTTTACACTGTTTCCTGTTAAAACATCAACATTTTTGAACCAATAAACCTAATCATATTTACCTGATGGTCACAACAGATATGAGGAACTGCTCACATAACTCTACTAAATTCTCAAGCTTGAAGTCATGAGCCTTTTTAATCAGCTTCAGAGCTAATCCAGATGATGTTAAATCCAGATTGCTGGTATAAATCCAACTGATTATGGCCATAGCAACTTCAGTCTCTATATCTGACCAATCGAGTTCCTTTCTATTACTGAGCATAGATTCATTCCATAAATTGCTTCTTGCGCTTAATACTAGCTTATGTGCCTTCATCTTTTCTTCTTTCAGGATAATATCAATATCACTGTATGTTTCAGAGTTATACAGGCTGCTAACAGTCTTCAACAGTCTAGATGCAAATGTATCATCTGTGCCTTTTCCATTTGATGCTGAGATGGCATTGTACTTGAATTCAACATCATGATATTTCGTCTGCAGCTTGGAGTATTCCTGCTTTAGTAATGACAGGTGTTGCTGCAACTTAGCAACTTCAGTGGCTTGATCTGGAATGTGTTCCTTAAGATAATCACAGGAAATTACACAATGGTGATTGTTGGAAAGTGATTCATCTAACCACCAGCTTGGGTAGCTAAAGGAATTAATTGCCATGCATAGATTAATATGCGTATAATGCCGTAATACACATTTCCACAGTTATAACAGCAACATGGAAAACAGGATCACTTTAGTCTAATCAATTTCAATTGTTTCAAAAGAAAATATGAAAAACGCAGCGGACTAAATTAATATTAATGGTCGGATATGCTTACCCATTTCCAAAATTCTCATGAGAGAGAGAACGGTTTATCAATTAACTGATATAATCGTAAATGCAATTTTTTACTACACCGCCCTCAAAAATGTTTTATAAACATAACCTCTACAGAATGTCACTGGTAGTCTGTCAGTTGACATCTGTCAAAAAAGAAAACCGTACCGCGTTTGAATGAAGGTGTGAAACGAACCATATCGTTACCCGTTACCACCCAAATTCGATCATAGACGTATCATGGCACGCTAGTCCAGCTGCACAGGTCTCCGGATTGATAGTGGTCCCTAAATGTCAAAAATTAAAAAATGGAAACTCAAAAATTCCCAGTACCTCCCGCTCTTCAATTTTTCCTAACGACAAAGTGAGCACCGGTACGGGTAAAAATGTAAACAAGCCATAAAACCTCCAAAAAACCTATAAGACGTCATCTTGTAGACTAGGTAGTAATCAAATCCAAGCGAATAACCAAAATTTCTGTGTTATGTACCGCGGTTATAATATGGTTCAAGATGACACACGGGTTGATGACGTCAGTTACACGAATCGCTTGAACGCGTTGGTTTTAACCGCGGTTTTGTTGCAAGTTGTTTATTTTAGAAAAGCGCGTATATAATCTCTGATTGTTTTTATTATCACTTAATAATCGGTGCTTTTTCGTCTACAACTGTATATGGAAAGTTTAAATAAGAAACCTTTCATAATATTCATGGGAGAAATGTTTTTTCAGATTTTTTTTTTAATGATGGTACCATGGCTTTGTAGCTATGATAACTATCAATTCTCTAAATTTTTCCGCATGTCAAAGAAAACATTTATTGATTCAGCAGAAATGATGAAAAAATAAATTAGCAAAACCGTATACAGGTGGATATCATCTAGTGAGTTTATATGGCCATATTTTAATATCCTTGTGGTGTATGGCTACACAGGATACTTTGTTAAGCATAGGAACTACATTTAAAGTGTCCCCAACAACTGTAATGAGTATAACTAATAAGATGCTCCACTTTATGGTAAAACTGAAGTCAGCCTGTATCATTTTTCTCAATAATGAAGCTGAAGTACAATAACAATATCCAATACCCGGTAAAATTCTAACTTGTCACATTTCAAATAATAACCAGAAATATAAAACTACTCTTGAGTTGGGTAAAAACCACAATTTTGCGGTGATAACTATGACATATAACAGCTGATTCGTGACGTCACGGATCTTATAACCAAACTGATAACTACACTCGCTTGAACGGATTGGTAAATACCAACCCAAAATGGTAAATACCATTTCCATTTGGTTATCCGCTTGAATTTGATTAGTGTTTAGGGTGCAAACAGTAGAAAATAATGGCAACGACCTGCAGTTCATCGCAGATGAAATTGCCATTGCTCCATTATTTTGAAAAAGTCACAAGTTCCAAAAATAAAAATGGGAAAGGACGATGCCTTGAAGATGTTGAAAAAATACGAATCAACATTCGGTAAACCATTAGATACTAAAGGCTTATAAAAAAATCAACAACATGAAATCAAGATTGAAGAAAAGAACAGATCCAAAAAAAAAACTGGTAATAAAGCAATTAAATTGTTAGATTGGGAAAGAAAGTTGCTGAAAGCTGTGGAAGGTGACTGTAATCCTACAATTGGGAAAATTAGAGGTGCCATTCAGGTTGGTAGTGTTCAAGAAGAAGGAAGTGAACTATATACCGAGCGCAGTGAGCAATTCAGAAGACATTGCCAGCAAAAAAAAATTAGCAATAGAGAAATGCGAAACTGAGGAAACCAAAGGGTTAAATACAAAGGAACTACAACGTCTAGTGCTATTACAGCAGTACCGAACAAGCATTTCACAAAAAGAGTACCTATTATAAAACGAAATTAGAAATTATGCAACGTCAGAAGCCACCTGTAACTTAAGATGTTCAAGAAAATAAAACTTATTATAACTTATAAATACACTTTAATCAGTAAAACTATTTATTACAATACTCAAGTTTCTTCTTATTTGTTGACCTAGTTGGCGGAGAGGAAGTTCGTCATTCTCATGATTTCCTTCATCTCCATCTGGGTCTTGTTCAACCAACTCAAAGTCAGGATCGCCCAAGCTCTTCGCAACATTATGGAGTAAAATACAAGCAATAATTATTTTCGGCACATTTTCCAACTTTACGCGGCAAACATACTGTAGAATAGAAACCGGTGTTTCAATTATCCGAAACAGCGTTTAATTATAACTCTTTCTTTTTGTAAAAGCTTATTATAATTTATTTCTGCACCTGGAGTAGGATTTCTGAAGGGAGTCATAAGGCATGACTCAATACCATAACCGTCATCGCCAAGTAGTACAACATTTGCTTTATTTATTAGTTGTGATCTAGTCTGTGAGTTTCTCCATATTCTGGAATCATGCACTGATCCAGGTCAACTGACATCAACACTTGTGAACATATCTCTGGCATCACAAGTGGCTTGCACATTTAAAGTAGGTTTCCCTTTTAGGTTGATATACTCATCTGCATGGCGATTTGGTTCCAGGATTCCTATATGTGTACAATTAATTACACCAATTGCTGTCGGAAATTTATACATGCCTCGCCAAATCCGCTTGGCCTCCATCAGTTCATGGTTGGTAGTTGGATACTTGATCCATTCGTTCGACTGTGCAACTATGCTGTTCACAACTCTATCCACAGTCCGAGATACCGTTGCTTGACTAACACCAAGTTCCTGACCAATACCTTGTTGATATCCAGGGTCACCGAGATAGCGTAGACATATCTTCATTTTATGAATACATGAAAGTGCTCCTCCTCGAGTTTCCTCATTCTCAACTAAAAATCTGTCCGCAAGCCATTGTACATTTGCTTCGTCGAACCGATATAATTTTTTCTTTTATGAATACGCATTAGCACGCAAATCCTCACTATGTCGTTACCTATAGTAATGCATTCTCTGACGCAGATTTTACATCACATCATAGCCAAACGTTGATAACTGAAGCCTCATGACGTTTACATAATGTTAAAAAAAATCCAGTATAAAGTAAAAAAAAATCGAAATAACGTCACTTTTCAAGATACGTAATACCAGTGCGATTTTGCTCTTTTCTGGCGTCCTGGCGTATTTCTTTTCCCTTTAGCACGCCACTGCAGGATTAAGGCAGTCGCTCCTAGCCGGTCATCAAAACGCATTACAGAACGCATTACAACAACATACCGAGTGATAACCTTTATGTCATTTTCAATTTAAAAATAATCTAAAGGCTTTCAATAATGGCCACCCTCAAATATCTTCAGAAAATTCCCAGTAACATAAGGTAGATATTTTATTTAAGATTTTACAAGCCGACTAACCAATTTTGTTGTATAAATGCAGGTCAGTTGGAACCACTCCGGCGAATAAAGATGCCTGGCTTTCAAAGATATTCGTGAGGAAAATTGAGCCGACCAAGGAATCACATAGCCGTATGCTCAGCGATAAAGAAATAATTTACTCTTTGCAGACACATAACTATAGGCCAGACTCAAAAATCCCATATTTGAACAATGTGTAAGTAACTATTTGCAAGAAAAATAATCTAGATAGCTACAAACCAATGTAAACAATATCATTGCAAAATCATTGCTACATTGTTTATAAGTAATCTTTATGTTGTTTTTAAGCCATTGTTTATCATGATAATTTATATTGTTTTTGAAAACAATAAATGCAAACAATTGAAAGTTTAGGAGATACAAGATATTTTTAAAAGTTTTTACATGTCTCAAGCATGAATTAATGGTACTTCTATGTTTGTACATATTTTATCATGATTAAACTGGTTAATCAAAATTCAATTGCCTCTATTGAATCTGTTCATCATAAGAGTGCACTCCTGTTAGAATACAGCTTTGTTTTAGTGGAATAAAACAAGTTGTGTGTTTATGTACGAGGTATTAATGAAATACATTTTTATATGGCAACTGTTCAGGATATTGCATGGATCATCTGCCTGCCACAGCTCCATCTAGTAACATGAGTTCAAGAAGCTTAATTTTCCATGACTGTGACATCGATAATAATGTGGTCAAATCATATAGTCTTGGTGTTAAATTCATATCACCTCTGCACGAGTATCCTACCTTCAGTCGATTCATGCAAATTGTCTATTATGGTACCCTTTATGTGGCATGTAGCATCAACATGTCATCCATGTTGTTCAATTCAGCCAAAAAAGTTGACACAATCTAGTCCAAGTCCAGTGCTCAAGTTTAGTTTAGGTTAATTCATGATCAACTTTATTACTTCAAATAGAAATCCCTATTTTTGATGCCGGGAGCGGAAAATTTTACGTTCAAATACGAATTGAAGGCCACTAAAGGTCAAATGTGTGCTGCTAGGATAACCACTATGAATCTTACAGGATTAGTGATGAGAATAAGCGCCAAGGTCTGTTCTTTGGTAAATTTTGTCTAGTGATCTTGGATTTGTCCTTGAACCTCATTTTCAAGGTCATTTTCGAAAATAGAAACCCGCAGAAACAGTATTGGTTAAAAATCATTTGTAACAAGCACCGTAGTTCCCTCGTTGAAACTTACCCAAACTCGATTTTTTTAATGAAAACCCCTATTTTTTCGGAAGTGCGGGAAATTTTTTCGAATATGTATTAGAATTCAAGATCAAGATGAGTGCGGGAGGCCAAGTAGGTTAAACAAAGGTCAAATACACCCTATTTCACGAGTATCTATCACGGTAGAATAACAGCTGGTTATCTAGTATTATATCAAAATTCCCCATATCGGCACAGGACACATAATTCTGACTTATCCATGAACACCAGGTAGAGCCTAATTTTGTTTTGTTTTTTGTAGGCTACAGATTCATTTGCTACTTGCCAACAGCTCTTTTATTTAGAAAGGTTCATTTGCATACAAAAAAAAACACTATAAACAGGTTTTACTAGATTTACATCCTAAAGAATGATGATTCTAAAACAGTTTTTGGAGATATCTGTGGAGGCGGAACTGAAACCTCAGAAAATTAATTGTTAGTGAACTTTATACAAAAAATATCCACTAGATTAACATCGTCTTGTGATTTGTAGCAAGAGGACTGTTGATTATATAAAAGCCCAAGATAGCCTTTCAAAAGAGGTAGAGCTAGTGGGATCATGGACAGTCAATGTTGGTGATCAAGATCAAGCATTGCATTTATGGAAATTCACTGGTGGTTATGAAAAAATTGATACCTTTAATGAGTTCTTAGGAAAAAGTGAGGTGTGTTTTTTATATTGCTAAGGTTTGTTTTATATAC